TTCTGCAGAGAGCCAGAGAAGTGGGCCCATTGTGTTTGCTAGGGACATATGATTTCAATTCTTCCTGGAGTGCATCAGTGCAGAGTTCAAGACAGCCTTTCCCGACCAAGCAAGGTTGGTTAGATCATACTGGAAACAGGATGTTGCTGCAGATCCCCATTGCATCGATGAGTCTGACCCCATGACTGTGAGGTCCTGATGCCATTTTTCCATCATAGACTCTGAGACCTGTCCAGGAACAGTGAACATGTTGATTTTTTAATAGTGTTAGTATTAAGGTCTCCAACAACAAGCTGGAAGACCCCTTCCATTCCATGCTCTGTCATCATACTTTCAAAGGCGATAAGAGAGGCTAGCACATGAAACGACCCAGAAGCATTGACTCAGTAAGAGTGGAAAATAGTAGACTGGGGAATCCTTCAGTCCTTTCTTGCATCCAATTCGATAGGCTGGAGTGTTTGTGATGTTTCAGATGGTCATCACATGGAAACCCCTGAGGCATAGGTGCTTTGAGGTTCCTTTCCCAGTCATCTGACCAGATCCTGTCCAGGCTCCAGTGTGGTTGATACCTCCAACCGAGGGCTTCTGTAAGTTTGGTCTCTCTTTGGTTTTCCCAATGTGCTGGAGGAGCCCTGGAATTGAACTGCGGTCATGGTGCTGAGCATGGTTGGAGGATCAGATGTGGGATGATTGGATCAGATCAAAGAAGGGGAAGGCTTGTCTGAAGCCTTGTGGACTGAACAAGGATGCTGGTGCTGGCGCTGCTGTTGAAGATGAAGATGCTGAGGCAGAGGAAGCGTCGTCAAGGTCCATCAATAATAGATGATGGAATTTGAGGCAGTGAAAATCAACAAGGTCAACAGTGCAGCAATGGCAACAAGAGCAATGGTAACAAGAGGAGGCCGGTGGATATCCAGTCAATCGAGTCAATCGAAGATGGAATTTATGAGCTTTCGAACAGTTCGGCGAATTGGTCGTGTCGTTTGAATCCACTGCAAGCGAAGCGTCGTTTGAATCCACCACAAGCGAAACTGCAAGCCTTCCTTCGTTCAAACGACCAATGACAGATCGATCGCTCGTGATGTTATCAGTGTACAAATCCGGATCCTTCGAGTTGTTCGAACCAACTGCGAGCGAATCCTTCGAGTTGTTCGAATCATTCAAACGACCAACTGCAAGCCAGTTCAAACGACCAACTGCAAGCCGCACCGAACGACCAATGCCAGTCCTGGGTAACCCAAGAACACAGATAACGACACAGAGCGATTTGCTCTTGTTGTTGCTGTTCGATATCGATACGTACGATAGGTACGTATCGGTCGTCTCCGTCGAGTTAATGAAAAAGTGAGGAGTTGAAGCATGACTCAGATTCGAGCCGATAATAGAGGTTAATAAAGCACGAATCAAGGTGTGACACACAAGCCGAGCCTTAATGCAGTCAAGCCTCATTTTTCGAAGATTTTTGTTAACTCGGATCGTTCTGTTAACTCGGATCGTCGCGATCGTCGCGAGATGATGCAAGACTTTGCCGGTGATAGAGATAACAGTAGTAGTAGCAGTAACAGTAGTAGTAGCGGCTTCTTTAGCGCTCGGTGGATCGTAAAAGGTGGACTCCCATAGGAGTCCATGGTATATAGGATCGAAAAAGGTGGACTCCCATAGGAGTCCATGGTATATAGGATCCTCATCGCGATTTCGATCGACGACAGGATATGGGAGATTGCTTACGAGCGAATCAAGGGGATTGCTTTCGAGCGAATCCAAGATAGGATCCTCATTGAGATTACGATCGTCAACAGGATAAAGAAGAGGGGTATCAGGAGATGACAAGCTACAGATGAAGACTGCAAGAGGAAACTCAGGAGCAGTCTGCATCAACGAGTAGCGAGATCCATTGACAACCATAAGGGATAGACATATAAGAAACCTGAGTAACATCTCAGAACCTCGCATGCTACCATGCGACAATACCATTGTGCATTGACTAGTCTAAAGATCTAAGAGATGTAAAGTTTGTATTTCCAAATAAGTGAGCAGTTATTGATTATTTTCTAGAATAAGCCTGCTAATTGTAAAGCTGTAAAGCTGAATTGTAAGCTGTATCCCGTCGCATAGTGCCCTCTTGCTTTCAAACCAAGCTTTACAGTAGTCGCAATACCAATAACCCATGATACAACTAGTAGTAGTAGCTAGCTAGTAGTAATTGCCGATCGCTAGCCCGTATAAAGGAACTGTAATACCTTAGGCAAAGTCTACACGACCTTACAAAATGTGAGTGTGGTTACCAAAAGCTAACTCCCAAACCGCTCTGTACCGGATTCTGTATGTAGTTTCCATGTTCATTGGTATGGCATAGGGGACAAAACGGGACCACAAAATTGGTCGGTACCTATGGGGTTGGGAATTTAGGATGCATGCAGGGTTCCAAAACGGTGCATACTGCCACACCCAATGGAGAACCCAGTACATGTTCCACAACAAACACCATCCAAATCCAGGAGCAATGACGTCACCAATCGCCTAGGGACGCATGTCGTTCGGTACCTTCCAGACCTCGCTGTTTTCGCGAGACCCCATTATGCGCTTCTTAGATGTCTTTCCTTGTGCTCCACTTTCTGCTTGGCGAACATGGCCTTCCTCTTGAGACCTTCCATCTTCTTGGATTCCTTGCTTTGTGGGGCGGTACGTGGGGTTAGCATTGAATCAATTGTTCGTTGACCGGCATCCCAATTCGCAACACCGTTAGCTTGAGACTTCACCTTTTGTGCATCAACTGCACGATAGTAGTACATGGCCTTCTGGATGTACTGGTCAGTGTGCATCTGTACAATTCGCCGGTGGATGGATGCGGTGCTGTCATTTGAGTGGCTTATCACGTACGAATACAAATCGTCGTCAACTGCAAAGCCCCGAGAGAGGTGGAAGTTAAACAAACCCAGCAACTTGTTGCTGTCCAGTTCGAGTGATTTCTCATTGTAGCCATAGAAATCCTTGTGACATCCGTGGCAGTGGTATGACATCGTATCAAGGTACCGGTGGGTAGACAACCCAAAGAGCACTTTTGGATTCTTTACCCACTTGGCTTCGTGCACGTCGACACCATCATGTCGTTCGCAGTTGGGGCAAGTTGGAATGTGGTCATTCACAATCAAATGCGGCACCCAGACTGCCAGGTTTTTCACGTTCAGAGCTTCCACATTCAACCTCAGCTTTTCATTGGACAGAGAGCTGTTGAACCCGTTCATTGCGCGAGACATCTTTGATTGTGAACGAGAGCCAGTACTTTCGCCTTGTCTCGCCGCTGGTTTTGCATGCCGGAATCATTCATTTTGTCATCAACATGATGGCTCTGTGGTTCATCGGTGCAGCGATCGAAACGAGCCATGGGTTTGCCAGTGCAGCAATCCTCTTCTTTATACCTGCTGTTGGAGGGAATATCTTGAGTGCCATTTTCTTGCCCCAATATATAAGTGTCGGTGCCAGTGGAGGGTACGGAAACTTGCGTTTTTGTTGCTGTTTTTAACTTGGCATCTGCTGACTCTGGATTTCTGACACAATGGCTCGCCATACTTTCAATGCTTTCTGGGGGAGTAGTATTTTTGGGCTGATTGGAGGCTGTGTTGCAGATGTGGTGCTCAACTGGCAGTTGCTGTTCATCAAGGGTGAACACGACGAAGGCAGCACAAAGTGTCGATACTGGCAGGCCCTCTTCTGGCTTTCGTTTGACATTATTGTCAACTGCCTCATTGGTTTGACCCCCTTTGTAGACAACTTCACTCACTTAGGTGGGCTGTTGTATGGAATATGCTGTGGTGTTTCAACTATTGAGCACTTGGCAGTCGGCTTTTTTGGCGTTGCTACCGGAAAGCTTTCGCGAATCCGCAATGGTTTGGGCTCAAACAGACAGCTCAGAGTTGTTCAAAAAGTTATCTGAGTCATCGTTCGGTGGTTTGTGACTTGTCTTGGTTGGTCTTGTCAACAAGTGAAGGCCGTATGGCTGTAGTCGGAGGTTGCCGTGACCTGTACCAACAGGAGATGACAAATAGTGTACTGTACCGAGGCAGCCATAAGAATTACTGTTGATTCGACAAAAAGGTAAATCATCAATAGTTTTTTCTTCTTAACGAGAAGGTGAAGAGTATTGGTGGCAGTCACGGGCATACATAAAGGACAGTTTGAATCATTTATCGAGACGGCCCCGAGCTGATGAATGTGGAAGTTGGATTTACGGGGAGGCCCCGAACTAAGGTCGAATGGTCGTTTGATTTAATAGGTCGTTGTTAGGTGTTATTTCTCCATTTCACTTCGTCTTCTCTTTGCGACATGTCAAAATATCTAGGAAAAGCACAGAATTCATATGAAGTTCCAAAAGTTACTATAATTTTAACCACAACCGTATTACACTTTTCCCATAGGCTAAACTTCGTCACATGCCGCAAAACCTCTTCCATATTCCTATTTGTCATTTCTACTTTGTAAAAGCTATAATTTGGTACATATCACGCTAAAGCATAATTTGAATGTCAGGCTGTTTCCAGCCTTCAGTTCTAACAGGTCCGCGACCTCACAGCCTGACTGTATGCAGAGTCTCGTCAACACCTCCCAACCATAGCACAAAAAGTCTGGGCTAAAACTGCCGCCAAATCAAGAGAGAAGAACATACGATGAAAGGTGAAATCATTGGCAGCAATGATGTTTAACCCTGACGATGAAAGTCCCCACCAGGAACACAACCGAGCTCTCCCCAACAATGAGTCTCTAGATCGCAAGATCTCAGTCGTTCCTGACAGAGTGTCCTTACGGCCAAATGATGTCTTGTGCGGTCGCAGTAAAGAGTCGTTCAATCACGGTAAGAAGATAATGCTTTGCTATTGGCTCTACGCTAGTGAGGTTGTCTGACGCTTCTGCAATTCTTTCTCATTTCCTATCTTCTTGAACGACAGCCGGAAACCGTCGCTTTCGAAACTTAGTTGCTGCCTCTCTGGCAGAGTACAATGAAGCCACCAGTAAATGGGCCAAGTCAATGGTAGCTGCCCGGCTTGTAGGTGTTATTAACAACGAAGGTGGGCGCTTTCTCAAGCAACGGAAAGGAAACGAAGAGGTGTGGTATGAAATCAGTACACAAGATGCGAAGGCGAAAGTATCGCATGCCATACGAGATGCCATTGCAGCCAAGGAGAAGTTCAAAGGCTCCAAATCAGATTCTTCTGTGGCCTCCAATGTAGCAAATTCCAAGAGCAAAGAAGAGCCAAACAAGAAGATGGCGCAAGATCAAGCGCACTCTCGCCCACCAGGGATGCTTCCGCATAGTGAGCCGTCCTCCTTGTCCTCCATTGCAGGGCCCATCATTTCCATGCCAGGTTTTCAACCCCACATGGGCGTGATTGGCGCAAGTGGACCCAACCGAAGTGTAGTTCAAGACCAGATCCAAAATCTCAGACACCAGCATATAAGAGCGCCCAACATAACCCCGCCTCTATTCGGTACAGCTGGTGCTTCACTAACTAGTCACCCAGGTATGCCTCCACTTGGCATGGGTAGCCAACATCAAGGCCATCCGTTTCCTCATGGTCACCTACTAGGGACAACAGGTCCAGTCGTGCCTCCCCATCGCGCTTCGAGACCACCGCAAGAGGCAAAGAATAGTAGCAGTAGCAGTGATGGTGATGGTGATGGTGACAACGATTTCCTGTCCTTAATCGACTCCGTGTTGGGGCCGATGCCACCAGGTGATGGAAAAGGATGACGAAAGAGTTGCTAGGTTAGTGTCCTTGACAGACAACAGGCATGGCTCACACGGGTGTTGGAGGAAACATACCTGACACCTCTTTACTATTGACTCGTGTATTAATCATCTAGTTCCGGTTCGCATGTAATTCATCATGCAAGGAACCAAGGGAGTTTTAGGTCTAAAGTGCTACGGGGTCCTTATATCCAATTCAATCACAAGAATTGCTATGCACCACCAGAAAATCCTCACTTTTGCTTTTCAGTGTTGTTTGCTAGTAATACTGCAGCTTATTGGGGAGTAATTTGGTTTTAGCCAAGGGTAAGAAACCACTAATCTTTCACAACCGTGACTTTGTGGAATTTTTACTGTAGGTTTGCCTGCAGAGTGGATGGTGTCAATGGAAACGAGAGCTACCTTCAAGTCTATGCAGACTCTTCGGACGAAGATTCAGTGGAATCCACGGAATCAGATGAAGATTTGAGGAGGGAACGCCCAGGGCTAGTACCAAGGGCATCCAAACAGTATGCCACAGACATTGACTCCGATGAAGAAGGAGAAGAGGATTCCAAGGAATCCCAACAAGCACAAGTCCAGACAACCCCACAGTTGAAGAGACGGCACCAGCAGTGGATACCAATGATGGAAACGTCCAACCAAGGGACACAAGACCAAGAAACCACGTGTTACGTGAGCTGTCAACGACAGAGGCTATCCAGCCAACAAGAAGCTTTTACAGGCAACTACACAGAGTAGTGCCCGTCGTGAGATCCTTCCTGCAGGAGTATCCACACAAGAACAGTTCCACGAGAACACAAGCTAGTTCCAAGGAACAAGCAAGCACAAGAGTGCACTACCACCAACGGCAACCATGAGATACAAGGAAGAGGTGGTCGTGGTGGAGAAGATACCCTTCTAGGGGGGGTAGGGGATTCAATTCCTCAGGAAGAAGCCATCAAGGAAGAGGCAAACAGCTACAGGAACCAAACAAGAGTTCCAAGCGTCAGTTCCTCTTCCATCCAAATGGACAGGCTGACACCAGGTATTATCCTTTTGAAGAGACCCTGACACACATTGTCCAGGACCTAAGGATCAAGCCTGAGGGAATGATGTGCCACTGGCTTCATTGGCCATTGAGACCATGACAAAGTCAGGCACCTACCAAGCCGACCAAGCCAACACTCAGGTATCACTTGCTGATCCAAAGCCCAAGAATACGATGCTTTGGAACTGAGCGAGTAAAGGCAAAGTCATCCATCTATGACAAGTCGACTCGATCCTATGAGAACATTCTCAAGACAGGTGCAACCACCATCCAGGTGACATACTGTACGACGCATGAAGTCCAAGCTAAGAGGTCTAGGAGACTACGAGGATGCAGTCAAGCTGGATCCCATTGAGTTGCTCAAGAGGGATCAGATTGATAGTGATGCAAGGCTCAACAAAGAGTCCCATTGCTACAATACACAAGACCATCCAACGTGGCTTGTTCCCAAAGCAAGGCGACCATGACAGAGTTGACTTCTACTTGAGAAAGGTCGACAACGACGTGGACAAGTGTAGACCTGGTCGGAACGGAGCTCATTGATGCCAGGACTATCGGTTGGCTGAATACAAGGCACACCGGATCACGACGCCCAAGAAAATACTAGTGACGGAAAGGGCTAGTTGAAAGCAACCGTGGCCTACCATGGACACAAGAGGGAAGATTATGGAGATTCCAGAAGACCGTTGAGGCACCTATGCCATGAACGGTACCATCCAGTTCCCTGATACCCTTGATCATCTTAGAGAGACGCTGTCCAATGACAGATCAAGCCCAGCAAGGAATGGTTGGACCAACGGAAGGCCAAGACCGGAAGCCATATTCCAACCCAAGCCACCTCCTTTTGATCCAAGAAGTGAAGGAAGGGCTCCCAGCTGCTGTCTTCTACCAGCAGTCCCAGCCAGGCGAAGCCTGCTACTGCTGTGGAAGCCCAGATCACAAACTTCCGCAGTGCAAGGTGAAGTCGAAGATCCCCAAGCCTGAATGGGCCATCAACAAAGTTCAATGGCATGAAGAAATCCTTCATGCCACAGTACCACCAACACCAGATCGCAGCTACTCCAAGGAGTGCCCCCCACAGTGGTACGGCGCCAGCTCCAGCCAGCTCCAGCTGGAGACTCTTCAGCAGGAGTGGATTCAGTGGAGTCCCTCCACCTCCCTACGAGCCAGGCGAACTTTCAACAGTTCCCCATGTCAAGCCAAGCCTCCCAGGCCAGCGGCAGGGTCACTACAGTTCCATTTTCAGCACCATCAAGTCGATGGAGTCCCGCCCTTATGGGCAGAGATGATTCAACCCACCGACAGTGAGCCGGAACTTCCATTGACTGGGGAGCATTTCGCTACGATTTCCTTGAGGCATCCCACTTTATGCAGAAGAGTGAGGCATGATGAGACATCATCCGAAGAAAGCTATCACTCCGGCTACGGCCATGATCAGCTTGCTGAGGGAGGTCCTGACGGTGTAAGCATCGGATCCGACCTTATCCTCCAGCGGTACAATGATACACATAATATAATTGTCAGTCGTTCTGCCCACCCTGACACCGTCTTCAACACAGATCCATTCGAAGGAGTCATCCCTCGGAGTGGCCAAGACGATGATCAGAGCTGCTGTTCCGACTACAGCTCGGATACAGAGAATGAATTTCGTTGCTTGTACCGTGGACCCAGCCGGCGTCAACGGGAGAATCAGCGAGGCAACTGTTATGAAGATTTCCAAGACCAAGACTCACTCTCAGTCGAAGAACAGAACCATCAAGTTGCGTTTGAGTTCCCAGGAGTGGCAGATGCCGAACTCACAGGAGTGGCAGAGCCAAATCTTGCAGGAGTGTCGGTCAAGAAACTCATTCCTATGGAGCCAACACAGTGTTATCTCGACAGTGGCAGTTCCATCCGTAACTGTCATGAACCAGGACATGATTGTCCGCAAGCGGCTATCTCCCAGACCTCAATCGAGATGGCCACCAATGTTGGAAGCACCAAGCTTACCCAAGAAGGCGACAACACACTTACGGAAATGGTTATTCCAATCCAGGAGCATCGCCAATATCAACGCTTTGGTCTCTTGTTGGGGATGACTGCTGTCAGGGCACAGGATGGTTCCTATGTCCTCATGGACTCAAGAGTCGACGACGCCATCTACACTACCGCCCAACTGGATCCATACCAGGTATGGAGGGACCGCCAAAGTTCTGTAAGGCGTGTTGATTGAGCAGAGCCTCTGGATCAAATGCCCAACTCAACCAGTTTTTCACCGGAGTTCCAGCATTTGTCCAGACGGTGGAAGGCAACCTCGAAGCTTTACCAAGAAGCAAGCCAAGGGTGCATTTCTCGCAAGAAATCTGTAACCACAACCTCCAGCGTCCATCTTTGGAGGGATACCGCACATGATCAGGACTGGTAAATTCGCGAGCTGTCCCGTCAAGCTGGAGAGACATCGGTCGCGCCGAATTAATTTTCCGGGAGCGACATGGGCAAGGCCAAGCGCTCTATACACGCAGACGCCCGCCACCAGTGACCGACAGTATTCATCTGTTACGGATGAGCTGGGTGCACCACACAGGTTCTTGACCGGATGCATGGATTTATGTCTGTGAGATTGCCTTCTCAGCATTCACTGACTTGCAAATCCGACACCGCGAATAGAGCCTACCTGACCAACAGGAAAGGAAAATCATCTATGCCGCCATTGACAAGATTTTGATCGGTACGGAAATAATGATTTCAAGATCCAAGAATACAGTGCGACCTGGAGTTCAAGAGCCTGATGGATCCTGTCAGAACGACATGGAGCTCAAGCTCAACCATGAGCGGCTCAGACTCACAGTGGTCCCGCCGAGCGAACATCCGAACTTGAAGGAGCGCATCCGCGCAGCCTGCATTCAACCCCGTTCATGGTGATGCCAAAGTGGATGATTGTGGAATTGGTTTACGATGTTAATTGTAAACTCAACCTCTTCCCGCGCTTGATGGAATCTCTAAAGTGTATCCCCCAGACAGATCTTGGAGGGTCGGACCACGAGCTACAAAATATTCAGTACACTTTTGGGAGCTATTGTCTTGTTCCAATGAACCAGACAAGCTCAATTCCATGGAGCCCCGGCGATGGATTGCATCTATCTCCGTCCATTGATGGACAACACCAAGGTGACACAGTGTGATGGACCTGTCACCTTTGAGGTGATCACGCGACAGCCTGTCCGCATCCTGCCGATGCCTCGCTCAGTCATTGATGCTGTCGAAAAGAAGGCATACGGTGAGGGTAAGAAACCACTAACTTTCACAACCGTGACTTTGTGGAATTTTACCTGTAGGTTTTCTGCAGGAGTGGATGGTGTCAATGGAAACGAGAGCTACTTCAAGTCTATGCAGACTCTTCGGACGAAGATTCAGTGGAATCCACGGAATCAGATGAAGATTCTGAGACGGGAACGCCCCAGGGCTAGTACCAAGGGCATTCAAACAGTATGCACAGACATTGACTCCGATGAAGAAGGAGAAGAGGATTCCAAGGAATCCCAACAAGCACAAGTCCAGACAACCCACAGTTGAAGAGACGGCACCAGCATGGATACCAATGATGGAAACCTCGCTGGACAGCCAAGGCTTCCAAGCTTCCTCGAGTTGGAATTAGACGCTCAGCTCGGATCGCAACAGCCGAAGCAAAGAAAGGAGTCACCTTCGTCCAAGATGACGAAGGAAGCAACCATACTGTATGAGACAGAGACAACAAACATCTAGCTTTGTTCATGGACTCCTGTAATCACAGGAGTACCACAGCAGAAGTCAAGGATGAGAGCAGCCACGCCCAACAGACATCTTCTACCCAAGGTCTGAAAGTGTGGGGCAACAAAGCCAGAAAGGCGGCGCTCAAAGAGATGGACCAGCTACACAGCAGAGTGTGTTTCAGTCCAGTCGACCCAACAAATGCATGATTCTGAATTTAAAAAGGCACAAATGGCACTCATGTTGTGAGTGAGAAAAGGGATGGCACGTCAAGGCCCGTGCAGTCTACAATGGGAAACCTACAAGGTGTACCATCAGAAAGAAGATGCCAGAAGCCCAACAGTTTCACTTGAGGGTTTGATGTTATCCATGTGTGTCGATTCATCTGAAGATAGGGATGTATGTCCCTGGATGTTCCCAATGCGTTCATCCAAAACCCAATGCAAAAAGTCAAACAAGGTGAAGACAGGGTCCTCATGTCATTGAGGAACCCTTGCAGACTTACTTGTCGAAATTGTCCTGACACATATGCTTCTTTCCTGACATACAAGAAGGACGACCAGTCCTCTATGTCGTTGTGGAAAAAGCCATCTACGGAATGGTTTTGCAGCATTACTCTGGTAAAAGCTCTTCAGGAGCGACCTCGAACAAATTGGATTTGTGTTCAACAAATACGATCCTTGTGTGGCCAACCGCATGATCGAGGGTACCAACAAACAATTCGATTTCATTTGATGACCTAATGTCAAGCCCAGAATGAAGTTGGTGAATAAACAAACTCTGGAATGGTCAACGCTAGGTATGGAACTATGGAGCCGTGAAGGCAACCCGTGGTCCCAAGCATGACTACTTGGGATGACGGTGGATTTTTCCGACCCAGGAAAGGTTGTGATTGACATATAGATTATGTCAAGAAAATGATCTCAGAGTTCCAGTGGACTTTGGGGCAATGAAAAAGGTACCAAGTGCAGCTCCTGCTGACTTATTCAGCTCTGGTGATGCACCATCCTGAATGACAAGAACAGGAAACATATCTACCTTTGCAGCCAAGCTGTTGTTTCTGTCAAGCGTGCTCGACCAGATGTGCAGACTCTCACTACTGTGTTATGCACTCGTTCAGAAGCCCAACATCTGATGATTGGGACAAGTTGGTTCAAGGCCTTAAGTTTTTGGATCAGACGGCGCAGGACAAGTTGATCCTACATATTGATGACATACGCATCATCACTTTGTGGGTGGATGCATCATTTGCAGTCCATCCTGATTACCTTCCCATACAGGAGGAGTCATGTCCTTTGAAGTGGTGCGGTGCTGTCTGTGTCTTCGAAACAAAATTGAATTCGAGGAGCAGCACGGAAGCGGAATTGTTGGAGCTGACGATGTCATGTCGCCCATTTTGTGGGCAAAGTTGTTCCTTGAAGAGAGGGGATCGTTGTGAAGGACAACATCCATGCAGGACAACAAAGCACGATCATTCTTGCAGAGAATGGCAAAGGCAGTTCGGGCAAAAGAACTTGGGCTATCAACATTCGTTTTTTTTATTCATGACCAGATTGGAAAAAGCAACCTTAGAGTTGTGTACTGCCCAACCTTTGAGATGCGTGGAGATTTTTTCACGAAGCCCTTCAGGGCAAGCTCTTCCACGAGCACAGGGCTTTCATCATGGGCACATCCACCCCTTGTTTGATTGCCTAAATTATTTTATTCGTTCCACGGTAGCCACTTAGGGCACCGTGCAGGAGTGTGTTGGAGGAAAATACCTGACACCTCTTTACTATTGACTCGTGTATTAATCATCTAGTCCGGTTCGCATGTAAATTCATCATGCAAGGAACAAAGGAGTTTTAGGTCTAAAGTGCTACGGGGGTCCTTATATCCATTCAATCACAAGAATTGTATGCACCACCAGAAAATCCTCACTTTTCTTTTCAGCTTAATCTAAAACCAAATTACTCCCAATAAGCTGCAGTATTACTAGCAAACAACAGCGGGTGCATGAGCTTTATGGCGGAGGGCGTTGCCTACTAGAGTGGTAGTGCCTGGACTAACTCCTGGACATGTCTTTTCGATGTTCTTGTGGGCACTGCCACGGAGTCCCGTTGCTGGTCCATCCATCTACTCTTGATGACACCATTGAGAGAAATGAGTTGTGGCGCCTTTGTACAAGCCCTAAAGGCACGGCAGCCGATATGTTAACGGATGCCTTTCGAAAGTTATCTCAAATCAAGAAATGTACTATATAGACTACTAACTCGGTCGTCCAAGGAGAAGGGGGGGGGGGGCGTTCTAGGGATGAAGCTGTATAGCTTTACTGGTTTCCAACGCCCTGTGTTAGCTTCCTGGCTGAATACACTAGCTAGAGGCACTTCGAAGCCGCCTGTATGGAGGAGACAGGGAGTAATCATGTTCTGAAAGGATATGTACAGCGAGATTCTCACTTCCTGACTGGCAAAAGCTTATCGGAGTCAGAAGTAGTCATAACCAATTTTAACTTGAGCGCCCAGAGGGTCGCCAAATGAAAGTTACAGTGTGAAACTATAGACGACATGCAGGTGAGAATGCTGTGCCGACCATCAGCGGAATCGTTTGGCCGATCCGTTCCCGGCGTTAACGAGAGTACTCGAAGTACACGCGAAACGATAATGTAGATTCTAGGTAGTAGGCCGCTGATGCCTTGATGTTCGTATGTTTTACCCATAGTTGCTACTTTGCTCCGTCCTTTGTTTCAAGTTGAAATCGCATCAATCCAAAAGTTTCTTCGACTCTCTATGGAGAGAGGAACAAAAGTGGGTCGCAAAGCCATTTTTCAAGTGTTGGTGCTCGGGCCCAAAACAACGACCATGACTGTCCAGCTTCAGAAACGCTGCTCTTTCTGCAGTTGCCAAGCTAGTCTTCCACCCTGAAGACCAAATCAATAGTTCCGTCTTCGCCCCTGTGCAACAGCAGCACGATATGTGGTTGCTCCACATAGACGACGACCAAGAGAATCGAGTGCCAGCGACCGTTCAAGTTTCCAGCAACAGGAGGAAGAAATCACCTCGAAGCCCACAGAATTCTTTTGAAGATTTGGTGACCATGGGGAACACCCGTAACAGTAGTAAGAAGAGAGCTGCACGAGACAAGCAGGCCCAGAAGATGGCGAAGAAGGCCCGTTCGAAAGAAAATCCCACCCAAGAGGCCCAAGGAGATTCTAAGCCTGCGGCCAAAGATACAACGTTCACTTTTGCCCAGGTGGCCCAGTTGGTCAAGAGTGGTGGGCAACTTGCCCAGAAAAAGGAGACCCAAGCCAACATTGAAGATTTTGTTAAGCAAGAATATTGGCGCAGGGTCAAGTTTATCACCAACGACGCAGGTGCCATTAAAGGCTGCCATGCCTACTTGAACCATCATCAGAAGTTGATGGGCGATGACGATGCCGCGGAGCGCCATGCTTTTTGTGTCCTCTACAAGGACCATTTTGTTGACTGCCTCAATAAGCAGCGGGGATATGCCCAGAATCGTGTGCGAGACGCCTGCTCGCAATGGATGCAAGCCCATAATGGTCAGATGCCCCCCAAGGACGGACTGTCAGCGTTGCTCAGCAGGACTTGGAACCCCCCTGCACCCCTTGCAGACAATGCCACTGACGACCAGAAAAAGAAGTGGGAGGCAGAGTGGGATTTGGCAATCTGGTATTGGGACAGCTTATTGGCAAAGGCCACAGGAAATTCTCAGCATTGGAACGAGGGCATCCGCTACTACAAGACTATTTCGACCGCTTGCAAGCCCCTAGACCCCAACTACCTCTTTATGCATACCACGACGGAGGCCATTGCCCTTACATTTGTCCGTAATAACTACCGCAAGTGGGCCGCTATGGAGGCCTTGAAACGCGCTAATGCGGGCAAAAAGATCAAAATTATGAATGGAGCGTAAGTACATTGTCTGGTGTTGTGTCGTTTGTTATGAGCTCTTTCCTAACCACTTTATGCGCAGCGCTCCAACCGATGTTGGCAATGACCCAGTAGTGCAGGGCACTTTTGTCACAGTGTATGAGGACAATGGGTACGGCACTACGTACACCCAGTCCAATCTAGGACAGTGCAAGTTTGGGGGATGGTCCAAAGAGGGCAGGGCATTCTTCGCAGCCACAGTGCCGCAAAAGCAACAAGCTCGCCCGCGAGACGCCCCAATCATCGGCCATGGAGGAAGCAATTTTGGCCCAACTTCACAATGTTCATGGGCTATTTGCCGAGTCTCAAGAGGAAGAGCGCAGGATGAAGAGGCGCAAGAGCTCCATCATTGACAGCGCATTCATGGAGGAGATTTCTGGCATGGAGTCCTCTGATGACGAGACTGAAGCTGCTGACGAGGACCAGCAAGGTGGTGGATCTGACGATGATGAGTCGTCATGTGCGCTTGCCGTTTAGTACCCAATAATTATGGGGCACCCCATAATCATGAGTGGCATTGCCCAAAATGGGTTTCTTAGACGAGACATGATATTTTCTTGCCAACCTTCTATCATTTAGAGGAAGGCGACAAGGTCAAGGCAAGGACGCGTCACAGGACGCAAAGCCCGCGTGAAGATCCTCTCCACGACACTACGACCATGTCGACGAGGGGATAGAATTCAGAAACGTCTTCTTGCTTCATACTACGTACTGTATCGGAGAATTAGAAACCACCAACTTCGCATCTTGTTTGTCATCCTGGTAAACCAGCTTGTTCATCCATCGAGCACGAACTGCGATTGAGTTTTTCTTGATGATGACTTCCTGGTTTCGGGATCAAGTGTGTGATAAAAAATAGTAAAACATGCACGACTGAGACGCTTAAAACTCTTTAGAATAGTCAGAGTTGAATATCACGTAAACAATTCCGATTTAAGTGTCCTAGTTATATAGATTAAAAGGGGACCGGAGGTGAGGTAATAATATCGTGATGGTCACCGTTGAGGAGAGAGCGAGCCATGCCAAAACGGTCCTGCTTGCCAGGAGTTCCATACAGTACGGTTGTACCGTGATGCTCGCGGTATAACGGTTGCATTCTCACGCTGGCCGATGAAGGCTTACTGTACAGTACAGTGAGCAATATGGAGTTGTAGACGTCACACATGTACGGCGAGGTTTATATGTTATTCATATTAGATAAATGGTTATTGCACGCTCGTTAGGATCGGGTTCGCTTCCGAAAATAATCACCAGGAACCCCACCAAGCTATCTCGTACACTCTTGACTGAAATACATTGAGTCTTGAATATGAGCCCGGTTGCATCCACCATGAGCATCGGGTGCACCCGACATGGGATCTCTTGTTTGACGGGTCATCCATCACCAAGGCTATCAGATTACAGCATTAAGCACTATCTTTTTTGCTCCTTTTTGCTGCAGGCTTCCGGTCATCTTCCTTTTCATTGGCAACATCTTGAACCTTGTCGAAGTCTCTCTTCAAGTTTGTCCTTACAGGTCGAAGAACTGGTGGTCTCTTGCGTGCAACTCGAGGCTGGGTGTCCAAGTCTTCACTTCCACTGATTCCGCCATTGCCCAACAGACTGACTGGACTCACAGGTCCGGTTTGGATATTGTTCAAATCAAGTTGAGTTCTAGCACCAGCTCCCATATCAAAATCGGGAATGGGGATGTTGTTGATTTCTTCCTGAAGCTTCGCCTTGTGGTCCGCGAAAGGGATCCATTTACCCTTTCCGAGAGTGTCTGCTCCAAAGCAGTTATTGAATCGTTCCTTGATCATCGAGACTGTCCAGCGGCCTCCCGTCACAGCACTAGCATGACAGAATTCTTCCAGACAATGGGGTGTCGAAATGATCTTGTTCCACACCACGTAAATGACATCCTTGTTGGTCAGAACAAGGTCCCGGGAGTAACGTTTGGTTCCATCAGTCCATCGCATGACCACTACAAAAAAGAACAGAACAGAACAGAACAAATGTCAGAGAATGACAAGATTCGTCGTAGCAATCCACAATCAAACACGTACTCGAGTCATTGCTTGACCAGCCAGACCAGGTTGGGGGAAATGGGAATCCACCGTATGCAGTGAAATTTGGCCCTTTGTTGTAAGAAGAGACGATCTTCAACCAAGTTAGGTTTCCGAATTCCTTCAACAACCAGTCAAAGAACTGCGATTCCATTCCTCCATCCTTTTCGAGGATTTTGTCAATGGAACGATGCTTTTTCAGGTGTTCCCACAGCAACTGACAGCCGTCATTGAAAGAACCATTGTCTCTGGCCACCACTTCTTCATCAGTTTCTACATCCACTGGAGCTACGTGCTGTTCAACAAGGGCAGCCCACCGTTCATCATGGCGATGCACCCAGTCCTCCATTCGTCCTGCAGTTCGCATCATGTTTTATCCGGTATCTCAACTATGAGGTGGTCCGCGAAGCTGCGACTGTATCTTCAAGTTTTGCGATTCATAGCATTGGTTTTCGACACTCGGCAGTCTCACCTTTTTCATGGAATTGAATAATTGTTTGCAGTCAGATCGGAACTTCACTGTCTTAACATAAGTTGCCAACAAAATTTTCTTTGTTTTCGTACATTAGCATCCATCTCCTAGTGGAGTGGCCTCAAGTCGAACAACTCCATCATACCAATATGAGTTCGAAAATTTGCAGGAAGGGTTGCCCGTAAAAGACCTGGCATTTTTTTACGGTGTGACGCCAGTTTCTGATTGGAACTATTGCTGTTGACACCACAAATAGGACTATACTACCAATAAAGCTATCCTAAGACAAATTTTCCACGTTGAACTTGTTCAAGAATTCGTCATCGTCGCCGTCAAATGATTCCATTGCTCCATTGACGTCAAAGGAAGCCTCCGAGAGATCATCAAGTAGGTCTGCGGGATCAACTTTGACTCGATTCCGTCGCATTCGGTATTCCGATGGGTCTCGGAAGAAATCATCTATGACAACGGAAGCGAGCTGATCTCGTGTTACGTTTCCGTTCTTCTGACAGTCTTTCATAATGCCAAGATACTGTGCAGTGTCTCGAAGCAGTGGTAACGTAAGAGAGTTCAAGAACGCCTCTGTTGACTTCAACATAACCGGTGCAGTCCGTCTCTTTCCCGTGACAGTAGATCTCCCACCAACGTACATTTGATGCTGTGATCCGCGAACAAGTGATTTGGCCACGAGTCCACGAGAATTGCACTTGACCTTTCTTTTGTTCTCCAATGTCTGATCAAGAAGATTGTTGCAGCTACGTAGATGCGCGGCACCTGGACAATCGTAGCCACAATGTTTCCAGCATTCAATGCAATCACCAACAATATTCCCATTCTTCCATTTCAATAGGCAAATGTTTTTCGTGGAATCAATCATTGCTTTGGCTGTCTTCGAATACTCTTGGATTGCAGGGTCAATGTTCGTTTTCGGAATGAAGTGTTCAATGTTTCCAGCAAAGAGACATCTCTCTGTCGGTCCTCCGTGATCTTGTTAGTGGCACTCCAATCATGCGTCCAGTGTTGGCCAACCAATAAACAGAGTTGTCGGCATCACAGCATTCACACAAATCAATTGCTGGATCAAAGAATGCAGTTACACACACCATCAAACGTGAGATGTCCCTTGGATACTCCAACGTACAAGGATCTCTTCCAGAACTGACGCAATTGTCAAACAGTTTCGGCAAAGTTTCGATAATGTAACCTTCCGTAGACACGTTAGCTCTGATTGTTTGAGAAGCACTCTTCTTTACTCGATGATGCATATTGCTCTCCATAGCACAATTACTGGGATAGGTCATCTGCTCATTGGTAGTAGCGTAATTCCAGCAATTAAATGGAAAGGACAAGTACGAGCGATAGAACAAGTCAGCAGCAGATGTTTCTCCACGAGTAATCCAATCAAGAAGAACGAGGTATGATACAGCTGTTCTCTGTTGATCCGTTCGACACCGGTGTATCCATTGAATCATGTGATAGGCTGTTGGATAGGTTGGCTTCGAAAGCTTTGTCTGACTTCCGGACGTTTTCCGCTTCTTCGCGATTGCCTTCTCTTCGATTAAAGCTTCTTTTGCAGCAAAGTTTCGATCTTTAAATAGTCGTACGAAACTGTTGTTCTGGCGAAAATGTTGTACAACATGAAAGTAACAAAGTGTCACGCCTTGAACTGGTTGGTACAAAAGGGAAGGATCACTCAGTACTTCCGCAAGGGTAGTGTTCTTGGCATGATTTGGCTGGACAAATTGAGGGAACTTTGTTGTCACGAGCTTAAGATACCCAACGTTCTCCTTGAGTTGTCTACCTTTTTTGGATGCTTTCGAAGTACCAGTTGGGACAGAAACAATGACGCCTGGGAATGACAAAGGGTGATTTCTTGATGACCGCTTGACATCCTTGTCTGAAGAAAGAATATCCCCCGATACATTGTGTTTCATGGCAACTTGATTTGCCAAATTGCTTTCCAAGCGATTCCAGGAAAGAATGCTAGAGGTAGAGATTGTCTGCGATTGTTGCTCCGTGATGGAAACGTTCTTGGGATTCCAATTTAGATCGCAGACTTCCGGCCACAATCGATAATGGCGATGGGAAGTCACAAACGCAGAGGAATGATCCGACATTCCACAGTCAATAGTGAAATGGGTGCCAAACAACTGACGACAGATATCACGTAGACAGTAGAGATGCAACAAATACGGATGTATGGCTTCAGAACCCTTCATGAATGCAAACGGCCGAATGGATGATGTAACCTTGGATTGGTCGTCCCTGAATTTCTGTGATAGTCCACCACAGATAATGGTTGGAGCAAAATCTTGACTGATTCCTCCGGTTCCGTCAGAACAGATTTGTCTTGTTCCAGGTGGACGATTGGAGAAGTGCATCAATTGCCATAGACTTCCCACAGAAACAGCGAAGAAGCATTGCTCCACTCTTTTCTCAAAATGCTCTATGTCCCTTGTTCCGTAACCAACAATGCGTTTCTTGTATCTTTCAACAATTACGCCTTCGGACAAACTGAACAGAAACATATGCCCCGATTCGACTCCAGGCACACGGAGAGCCTCGCATAGCTGATCTGGTGAAGTGTAATCCGATCTTGGAAGGTAACCAAAAGGTATGACAAATCGATACAATGCCAGGACACGGGAAAGTGCATCGGTATCCATAATACACTCCATACCAATTGCTTTCTTGATGTAATTCCTTTTCACAACTCGTAGATGATTGGTGATCTGGTTTGCCAAGTGATATCGCTTGGTGTTGGAGTCCACTAGATGCTGATAAGCAACGTGTTCCCGGAATATCGTAGACAAAATGAATGATGTAATCTCGTTGGGGGCAATCTCCAGGACCATACGTCTTCTGTTCTCCCACTGAGAAGATACAAAGAATGAAGCAAGTTGCTTCATGATTGGAGGCAATCCGTATTGATCGGTATGATGCTTCGGTGCCCGGGTAAAGTCGTGATTGTGTTGACTGCTTGAGGTGATGTAAATAGCATAGACACTCGTAAAGTGATTGTCAGGACAATCGAATGTACGTATCTGGGCTCTCCAATTGCAAAGTTCCACTGAACATTTGTATCGATTTGCTTTTGTTCTCTTTTCGCTGTCAATCTTCTTTCCCCCTAACCAGCACGGGCCACCGGATATAATCAGCTTGTAGGGCCCAAAGAAGCCTCCGTAAAGAGTTTCCATCTGACTTCGCGCCTCTTCGAAAGTAGCATAAATACGTGATCGCGGGTCCGCATGGTAGCTGTTCGAAGACTGAGTTAACCTGGAAGGTTCAACGTGAGCAAGAGCATATCTGACCGGTGGCGGACCGTTCGCAAGAGAGACCAAATCCCTTTCAGGACCATTTTGCTCGGTCATGGTGTCTTTTTCAAGCCACTTCCATAATGCACTTCATGAATGAAAGTGCACTACGCTAAAAGCTAGTGTAAAGATCTTTCGAGTGTTTTGAGTTTGAGAGAATGAAAGTTATGAGAGAGATTAGAAAGCTATGAAAACTAATCAACGAGAGAGATCATCATCAAGGGATCGTAGATCTGGCTTCCCGCGGGAGACTATAAAGTGTGATAGAGTAGGTTGCGGTAGTAATCCTACGTCTCTCCACGATCCTAAAACGGAACGCGTGGAAGGTTTGTCTAGTCTGGATCTAGTAGCGTGGAAGTACTCCACGCTGGCTAAATATTTAGAGCGATGTTTCATCATCAACCCAGTATGACCAGCGCGGTCATTGAGAACCCTGTCTCAAATGACTATTCACGAGAGACTCAGTCATGAGTCGAACTCAAACCCTATCTAGGATCGAGTCGCGAATAAGGCTAAGAGCCGTGTATTGCATTCGCCCCCTGACAAGGGTCACAGAAGGCGCGACAGCAGTCGTGAGTCGAACTCAAACCCTATCTAGGATCGAGTCGCGAATAAGGCTAAGAGCCGTGTATTGCATTCGCCCCCTGACAAGGGTCACAGAAGGCGCGACAGCAGTCGGACAAGGAGAACATATGATTTAAAGTGCGGGGCACTCTCATGAGATTTGGATGTAGACATGTGCATCGCACGATGGCAATCCTACAGGGGATCAGGCCTTGTATGGTGTATATACCTTATGTTCAAGTCTGGTAGACTGTGCCGCCATTGGCGGTAGCATTCGAGCCGTACAGTGCCATTGTCATTGACTCGGTCTATAGTGTAAGGACCTTTGTACTTTGGCTGCGTACTTGCGTGCTGATACTGTTGAATCATCACGGTATCGTTGACATTGTATTGATGAGGGACACGCGTCGCGTTTTCCCTGTCGTTGTTTTGTTGGATTAGTCGTTGGCGACGTTCCTTAATGTACTTCCAGTTGGCTTCGAACCGGACGTTGTGAATCGCGTCGCGATTGAACACGAGCTGGCGGGCGTTGCGCGCAAGGTGGTATGATCGTTGCATTCATTGCAAAGCGAACCGCCGTGAGGACTCCATCCCAGGATCCATTCACGAGGTCTCTTGGCACTTGATGTTTTGACAGCGATCAAGTTACGTATGGTTTGATGAGCACGCTCGACCATAGAGTTGGCTTGAGGGTTACGCGTAGTGATGAACTTGCGACGAAGTCCATATTCATCCGAGTGTCTTTTCGACCTCTGCGCGGAATCGCGTCCTCTATCCATGATAACTCAGCAGGCCATGGATACCGAGTAAGCCACGTTTGTTCTAGGACGATGGCTACTTCTCTGCTGCCTTGAGCAGATCTCTGCAATCCGAACCATCCGGTACGGATCAATCATTGTCAAGCAATGAAGTGTGCAGGAATTCTTTTTCTTAGGATCCCGACGTTGTAAGGGCCTATAGGTAATACATAGTCTTTCCAAGGGATCTCCTCGCAAGTCTTTGGAGGCATCAATCCCAGCTTACGGTCTTGGGTTTGTTCACTGGCACTTTGGCAACGCTACATACGCCTGCACAGTCTTGCGCAGCCTTTCCAGGTGTAGTGTTGCTGATGGTTGTTCTGTGCGAGTCTCGCAGGATGCATCAGCACACCGGTACCATTCAACTAGCTTCTTCTGCATAGTTTTAGGTACGAGATTTTATCGTCCTTAACTACTAAGTCGTTGACTTATCCCCTCTGGGAAAGATTGCTTCTTGTAGTCGTTTGGCTTGTCCCTGAGGAGCTTCTTGATATCGTTGTCGTCCTTTCTGACGATGTTCGATCTCGGGGAACGAGAGAGGAACTCGCTAGGGAAGTCCTCTTCGTCTGCAGCCATGAGTCAGCGATCTCGCTGGCGTCCTCTGTTCGAAGAACCTCGTTGTTGGAGATGTTAAGTCTACAACGCATCAGCGACGATGTTCTGTTCGCCCTGATGTACCGTAGTTCAGGCCGTATTTTTCCAGAATAAGGCGCCATCGCATTACGCGTCGTATTGAATTCTTACATGTAGATTCTTGTGGTCCGTATGTACAACGATCTTCTGTCCTAGAAGAATGTTACGGAACTCTTTTAGAGTTTCTATGATACTGAGAAGTTCCTTCTCGGTAACTGTGTAACGTGTCTGGGGGGTGAGCTTCTGCTGTAGACAGCGATAGGTTTTCCCTTCTGGGAAATTCACTGCACCTAGTTGAGTATCACTCGCATCGTGTGGTAACGAATGTATCGTTGAAGTCAGGGTAGGCGAGCAAGTTTCCTTGCTTATGATCTTCTTCATCTGGCTAAAGGCCTTGTCGTGTTCCGCTTCCATTTCCACTTCGTTGTTTTGGAAGTCAACGAAGCGAGGGGCCAGTACATGTTGATTCTAATCCACATGTCTCATAGTAGTTCACTAGTCAATCAATCTACGGAGTTCCTTCTTGTGGTAGGAGGAGCGATATTCTGATCGCGTCTTTTTTCTTTGTTATAGGTTTGATCCCTTCCGAGTAATCAGTAACCTAGGTATTCTAATTCTCCTCTTGCGAAGAAGGACTTGGTAGCATTGATCTCAAGTCCGGCTTCTCGAAGCCTTTCGGAGAACTTCATCCAACTTTTCAACGTGATCTGCTAATCGCCGTTAGTTAGGATGAGTAGATCATCAATGTATGCACGACCTATTCTAGGTCGTGCATTAGTGTTCCCATCTGCTCTTGGAAGATTTCGGGACTATTACATAGGCCCATCTGGCAACCTCTGGTACTCGTACTTTCCCCACGGAGTACGATAGTACAGAGTTGCTTCGAGTGAGGTGAGCAGCTCGAGCGATGTGAATGTATCCCATGTTAGTCTAGACTAGTAGCGTACTTGAATCATCTAGATTCAAGAGCATGCCTGTATTTTTGGATAGGATAGCTTCCGCTTAATCCTTTTGTTCAGTCCCGGAAATCAGAGATGAATCATACAGATCCATCTTTCTTGGGAATGATAAAAGTTTGGTGCCGCCCACTCGGAACGGTTTACCTTCTTGAGTACTCCTGCCTCGCAGGACGTTCAACCTCCATTTTCAGAGTGTTGGTATGGACCCGTGGAATAGGATAAGCCCTTGCATGATAGGTTTAGCATCAGGGAGAAGTTCTACTTCGTAGTCGTCCATCTGCCACTTTCCAAAGTACCATCGAATAGGCAGAGTACTTCGTCAGTAAGGAATGAACTGTTCTTCTCTTCCGTGTTAACTGATCTTGACTTTGGCAACCTGCTTAAGTCAGCTTGTTCGTTTTCGCATCAAGAATCTTTTTGAGACGATCTGCATGTCATCAACAGCAGTAGGATCGGAATGAAGAATTCTCTTCTTCATTGGTGTCGGTTTTCTAGGAATAGATCCCGTCCATTCCACTGACATGTGAAGACTGATCACCAAATGTCTCGACCATGAGTCATTCTACGCCGCCCATCTGTGACGAATCCCACTCGATAATTTATCTTCGTGAATTCAGGATCATGAAGCACCTTTGCACTTCGTGCTGGTGTTTAATTCTCCTGCAGGGGTAGTCCACATTGTTTGGACGCCCCCAAGATCTTATACGTAATTTCTTAGCATAGGTTAGCAATCAAGGTTCCGGATGTCTCCTGTATCCGGTAAGCAACGGAGTGTAACGGGTTTTGGTTTCCCTTTCTCTCTCTGTTAAATCTAACATAGAGATGGGTTTGAGGTCTCTTGTCTTGCGACGTTTACGAGGTGGTTGGCACGGACGAGGTTAACGATGCTAATAAGATCATCAGAGTCTAGTTGAAGCAGCTTCTAGGCAATCAACTATTTGCCGTAGTGTTCATCAGTTGCAACAATTCTTGTTACTAGTTATGAGATATTTTCATCACTTTGGTATGAGAAATCGGAACATGTTCCGTTGAGTCATCATCCTGGCCTAATCCTCAGATGAGATTTCTCCATCATGATTTGAAATGATAGAGAGTTGTCCTCATTGTCAGAGTCTTCTGATTTGCGCTTGGCAACATGTTGCGAGCTTGCAAGTGGTTGCACGAGTATCGTCATCTCGGTTTTCTTCGTCATTGTCGTTGAGAGGAAGAATGGGTTGTCACGCAACTGTTTCTCAAGTTGCGGAGCGATGCTTTCCTTAGCCATCTTCATGGTGAGGAATGGTTGAGGGTAGCTGAAAGTATTGTGTTTGTTAACAAATGCACTACGCTAAAAGCTAGTGTAAAGATCTTTCGAGTGTTTTGAGTTTTGAGAGAATGAAAGTTATGAGAGAGATTTAGAAAGCATTGAAAACTAATCAACGAAGGAGATCATCATCAAGGGATCGTAAGTTGGTTCCCGGGAGACTATAAAGTGTGATAGAGTAGGTTGCGGTAGTAATCCTACGTCTCTCCAGATCCTAAAACGGAACGCGTGGAAGGTTTGTCTAGTCTGATCTGTAGCGTGAAGTACTCCACGCTGGCTCTAAATATCTGAGCGATTTTCATCATCAACCTAGTATGACCAGCGCGGTCATTGAGAACCCTGTCTCAAATGACTATTCACGAGAGACTCAGTCATGAGTCGAACTCAAACCCTATCTAGGATCGAGTCGCGAATAAGGCTAAGAGCCGTGTATTGCAAAAGATACCAACAAAACAAGGTAGATGATAGATCGTCGGGAGTCGATACGTAATCCTAGCCGACTTCATAAAGGGGAGTGTAACCAATGACATTACAACTCCCATAGGAAAAGTCACAATGTTGATCAATCACGAATTTTCGAAAAACCTTCCGAAAGTTCTCCAAGAACAAGCAAGGGCGACAAAGAGCCCGTTCACAGCAGAGGCTGACTCCCAGAGAGCCCGACTTGTCTTGGTTGACAGAGGAAATATTTGGTTCCATACGAATGGTCGTGGAGGATTCAAAAGATAGCTCGCTAGAGCAGGGAGGTGGCTTCTCGAACAAAACCAGCGCGAACCTTCATTTGAATGGGTATTTAGTAGTCCATCTATCAAAAGCTACGCCAGAATAGGAAGAAAATAATCCAATCCAACCCAATCCTTGGTAAAATCAACGTAAATGGCCCACGAACAATGACATGATGACGGTGAATGCGCAACAACTTGGCGGCGCTTGATGACGTTCTATTAGTACTACTGTGATAGACAACCCTCCAACCACAAAGGAAAATGATAAGAAGTAGAGGCATTCTGGGGGTCTTGCTTCATGGCGGTGAAGAACATTACAAGGCACTTGCATCACAGTTGGGACTACTCCCACCACGACACACAAGAATGTACCTCTCCGTGGAAAGTTGTATTCGTGACAAATCAATCCCGTTCTTATCCGAACTCACATGCTTCTCTTTTTTGCGATTCAAGCAGGCAGGCTTGGTAATATTACCAAGCCTGCCTGCATGTGGAACGGCTAGAGGTACAGTACAGTACACTAATAGGGCCAGCGAAGAAATCTCTTACCTGGTAAGTCGTGTTTCGTCAATCGTGGTGGTTCACCCACCACACAACACACGGCAACAACTTTACAAGTACTCCAGTACTTTTTTTTTTTACACATGCAAATGTTGAGCAAGTACTGCTTGCAACCAACAATATCTGCACTTACAGTAAAATCATCTAACGGAATGACAACAAAATCATGGGGGACCTATGGTATATAAGCGTAATACCACAATCATCACCCAAGCAGCAGCAGCAGCAGCAGCAGCAACAACAACAACAACAGCAACAAAGGCTCAATCAGCGATCAATTACAAAGTCCGAGACCACTTCATTCGAAGGTACGATAACTCACAATGTCCGCAACAGGTGGTGGAGCAATTTGGTCTGTTCCCAGTCCACCAGTTCCCAGAGACCTCGAGGCAGCATACCAGGAATATCTGACATATGTCAACGAAGTGAATCACGGCGAATTCGAAAACGCAGCCGACCTTGTCCTACACAATTCCAAGCTTGCGGAAGAAGGGTCAAAACAGCGTCCTGTCGCTGTTGCAATCCAACGATGTCGGCGTGGTGGCAAGACATTTATGTTGCACGCGGTTGGTGCATTGCTTCAAGGGCGGGCAAGACTTCAGGAGCACTCGTCCCAAGTTATTCTAATATCCCTCAACGGTATTTCGCCGTTTGATCCAAGCACGGAAGACGCTTTCCAAGCGATCATGGCGCGGGTGGCCTGGGAACTGAGTGGGCGGGAGGCAGGGACTTTTCGGAGGTTCAAGCAATTGTACACCTCTGATTTTGGCGCTGCTGACGCGTGGTTAACTGATAAGGAGAATCATGTCATGCTTCTTATCGATGAGTTGAATGCAATTCCTCCGGAAGCCAGTAGATACGGTGATATGAGTTCATTGCTTGCAGAGTTTGTACAGCAAAAAGGCAGCGGTTTACTATACTCAACTCACCAGCGGAGTACTGCGGATTTGCTCAGACGAAGGCGCCCAGGAACAGAAACCAGTCTAGTCCTATCCAAAAATCCGCATAAATGGGCGCAGATTCCTCGAATCCAGACAGTCAAGTGCCTGCAAGGGTTGTCGAAAGATGCGTCAGAACAACCATCCTTTTGGAGTGCAGTCCTTCGAGGCCGCATTCCTGCGCTCGTCGTACAGGAAGAAGAGATCCCAAATTACGCCGAAGACGCGATAGGATCGCTCTCTTCGCCAGAGGGCGTGGGCATGTCAATAGAAGAAGAACGCCAACTGTGCCTTGCTGCAGTGATAACAGGGAACATTGATCAGCTTCCAAGCAGGCGCAATCTCTTCCGGGCGTATAGCTATATGAGCGAGCGCTTTGTGACAAATCCAAATGGCCAGGCGGGGGAGTTCCACCCGGTTGATCCGAGGAAGACGATCAAAGATGGCCAGTGCTTTGCATGGCCTCCTTTTCTGATAGCCCAGCATCAAGTTTTGGGCAAGAATTATCGGCGATTGCGAGCCCCGCTGGAAGACCCTGAAATTGATGAACCCAAGGCCTTTGAAGCCTTGGCTCAACTGGCAATCTTGGTGCGCCTCTTGGCCAAGCAGAAGCATGAGTTAGTACCTTTTCATTCCAGCATCATGGATGACATCTCAACCTGCAATGCGCAGGATGCGACCGAGATGTTTCATGTTGCGCAAACTGCAACAACACTGGAAGATATACTCGGTGAAGTCAAGGCGCGGTTTAAGCGCTCCCCGCACGTTGTACAAGTTGTTGCCGTACCTATATATGCATCTTTTCCAACCTACGACTTCTTCCTCCTTCATCGAGAAGGCGAGAGGAATTGGAAAACTGTTGTGGGCTATCAATGCAAACAGGGTACTGAGAATCCCAGTGAAGAAGCGTGGAAAGATGTCCCCGTGTCGGTTTGGATTGAAGGCAAATGCCGCATGTATCGTGTTCAAGAGGACGGTCAAAGGGTTTCCAAAAAGTTGCACCGGGGTTGGACTTTGCTGAGCGAGTCGCATCAAGCTAACCTTCTTGGTGTTTCCATTGCCGAAGCGCTACCACAAGCTGAAGCAAGCAGCCAAGAAGAGAGGCAGTGTTGTAGGGCAGAGCAAGCCTGGGATCAAAGTTACTTAGACTCTCAAGGCTACCAAAACAAGCCTAAACGACAGCGCTTGGAAGAGTAGACACGAACAGGAAAACAACCATTGAGAATCGGATGCCCCCCCCCCCCTTGTATTCCGGAGCGTTTCTCTCATATTTGAGCTTGGATCAGTTGTCGATTATCGACGTCACTACGATTGATCTCTTCAGTAGCAGACAACTATCTATCTACTATTGTTGTTCTGCCATACCTGGTGTTGTTCTGCCAATCCCTTCGGGATTGCCCTCGGTCGCCTTCTCCTTCTGCTGCTCATCATCCATGGTCAAGTGGGTTGGTTGTTGGCTATCTCTCAGTCCGGATGGACTGGGGAGAGCCTCACAACGCTTGAGCTGAGCATGACCCAGAAGGAGATGTGAAGTCTAGTCAGGATTGAAACCTGAACCTGGACTGAAAGAGAGCCGACGGCAAGGCGGAACTTGGCGATGAGGAGAAAACCGCCGATGTTACGGCGGGGCATGAGATTGTAGGCTTCGGTGCGAGACCAGGCACGGGTGTGGGGTCCGCTGCGAATGGATTTCGCAAGGAGATCGGAGAAGGAGTCCGAGAGGTTGGAAGGAGCGGTGTATTTGGCAGAGAGGCCAAGAAGTTGGGAATCCTGGAGGGTGGAGCGGAAGGGGAAGCGGCATAGCCGAGGTGGAGTCGGATGCATGATAGCAGGATCATTCCAGGAGTTGGAGCGGGGAAGGATGGAAGTGGGAAGATCTTGAGTGTGGACGAGCCGGGGCCCGAGGAGACCCTGAAGAAGAAGGGGCTGGGCGATGGCGGCCGTCGGAGAAAGAGGGGATCGTTGTCGGTCATGGGAAGAAAGACGGAAGAAAGGGGCGCGACAAAGAGAAGAAGCAAAGGCGGAACGAGACGAGATGTCTGATAGCGATAGAGGCAAGGCAGGAAACGAAGGCTTTGTACATCAACTGTTGTGGTGTACAAAGACAGAGAATAAGCACTTGGTGCTTGTTATCTTGTTGGTGCCAGCTCATCCAATGCCAATGCTGGGTGAGCAGGCACCACCTACAGTTACCTGCCGGTCATGCTGGCTTTAAGGTTGTGGACCCTCATTTGCTCTGCTACTGGTGCTTCACTATGACTGGAGTTAGTCTCTGCCGGAAAGTCACTTGCTGCTAACGCCGATCAAATTAATTATTAACGGGTGTGATCGCCCACCCCTCGTGCTCTTCATCAAAATTATTTTCGATTTCTTCGCTATCAACAGGCTCAAACAACATGTTGCATCCAAAGAAAGAAGGGAGTTTTGCAAATTCGACATAATAATATATCAGCCTTCGTTCTTCGCCGCCATCGTAGGAAAAGCGAGTTTCTGTCACCTCCCTCACGTCATCCGGAACGCACCGACCGCCCTCACTATGGGCTCGCGCTCTTGGTCTGTCCCTCGCCCATAGAAGATCGTCTCGATCTTCCACAGCGAACTTCCTGTTACTGTATCTTTTGGTCCCGGATGTCACCTGAGTCCCGCCTTCAAATTACCAGTTTTAACCCCAATTTTGCGACAATTTCTGGCCTGCGCGATAAAATCGAGGGTTAGAGGCAGAAGTTGGAACAAAAAATTGCAGAATTGGGGTTCTCAAAAACCGGTATCACTCTCACCTAAACCCAACAGCAGTTCTCGCTTGTTGTTGGCAACTGGCAATGAAGGTGAAGCCAACCACACTATTGTCGAAGCGATAGCAACACTGTCAACCATGTGGAGTGCCTCTATTGTTAACGCTGTGGCCCCTTTTTGGATTGTCAGTGAGATGGGATTTTTGTCACTCACTCGCTTCCATTGTCACATTCTGCCTCCATGGCAGCATCGTCGACAGTTCTGTCGGTTGTTTTCTTCTGTTGCTGAGGTTTCGTCATCCTGCAATTGTTGCATAAAAGACTCTCTTTCTTCCGCCGACAATCCTCTTACAAGCGCCATGGCGTCCTGCTGCATCCGCTGCCGCTGCCTTCCGAGTTCAGTGTCTTCGATCGAAACATTCTCAATACAGTCACGCAGTCGACTCAGCTCGGCATCATCATGCGGGGTCCACTGGACAACTGGAGCAACAACATTGTCTTTGACCTTTTCCCACAACGCCATTCTCTGTGCCACGGTTGATATTGTCGGAGGACTCTACGACTAGTAACTTGATAACAAAGAACTAGAATGAAAAGAGTGAGAGGATCGCTAATCGATCCTCTGTGGCTACCGGTTGACTGACAGACTGTAAGTCGCGTGACACCCTCCCCTGATTCGGACTGCGGAGCAGTTCGAAGCACCAAGTAGAGCAAATGGAAGGAAGGATAGAAACAAAAGGTAGCATAGAGTAGAAAGGAAATAGAAAAGACAGCCAACCCCAATGGGAAGTCTCTGAATATAGAAAGAAATAAAGGTTAGTAGTGACCCATCAGCGGCGGGCATGGCGTTCGTGAAGAATCAGCCTAAGGGCTTGGTGAGGTCATCAAGGGATTGATAATCCCAGGAAGTACCGCATGATAATATCACGGCATCTTTCCAATCTTGAATGGCAAAATGCTAACAGCAATATGCCGGGACCGATCCGTGGTGGATCTTAGCATTGATCATATTGATGGCAGACTGATTGTTTCATGCAAAGGAGGGGGTCCAAGCTGGGCAAAACCAAGGTCTGCCAGCACAGCGCGCAAGTATTTGGTCATGCTTGGCGGCTGCAACAAAGCCAGGAACTCTGCTTCGTTAGAACTTGTAGCAGTAATAGACTGTGTTTGGATATTGTAGGAAATAGCACCACCACAGAGAGACAAAGGCGAAACCGGTCTGTAGAGCGGCGATTGCGCAGGTCATTGGCATGAGCTGCATACGACATATGCCAGTAAGTTCAATGGGATTGGAAGGGTAGGATAAGGGCGTAGGCAAAACCATGTTTTCTCTTGAAGGGAAGAGAAAAACTATGTATGGCATGCGTGTGCCTCCAAAGGGCCAGCGCTCTTGAGTACATATATCAGCATACTGGGAATCTGGAGGAATGTGGACTGAATGGGTAATTGGAAGGTCAGGGACGGTGAAGCGAGTAGTCCAGCCATGGGATTGAAGGACAACGATCAATGTAGCTTTCTCAGCAGAGACAACACACTGTGAGATCTTATACTGAGTGACATCCAAGCCATTGTAGTCATTGAGAAGGCCAAATACTGAAAAGGAGGTTACCGGTTTTCAGAAAAGGTGAGTTGAAGCTGTTGACCCAATTCCGAGCGGAAGATGCTGGCAATTGATTCATACTGGTTAACCAGCTAAGGATGCAACAACTATCCCACTTGATACAAGTGAGAAGAATTTGGTCGACCTTGAAAAGAAGCTACTGTAGATGGTTTGTAGTGGCTAGTTGACTTGAAGTAAAATTCAGGTGATGGAGGATGGAAATTGATGTCTCTTCCCAAAGTCGGGTCTCTGGATTTCTGGATTGTCCTGTGGTAAGGCTAAGGATTGAGCATCGACAAATGACGCTGCGATCAAGTCTGTTTGATGCAAAAGCGCATCTTCTATACCAAGGTCACGCATAACATCAATCAATGTAGACGAAAGGTCGGATTTTCGTGGGTTGCCGGTCGGGGAGTGGTCAATACGATCCTTATGCTGCGTTAGCATCACCACCATGACTCTGTATCCTTTGGGGCCGCCAAGGCAAAAAACATTCGCTGAATGTGGGGATCAACACAGGAAGAATAGCTTTGAGTAAGGGAATGGAGGACAGGGGCTGCCCGGGGAGAACCGTCACAGAAACTGCGAGAACGACGCGTTCCGATCGCGCTTGATGTGTATTGCCAGTGAATCGAAGGACAATGGCACCGGGGGGTTTTTCGATAGGTTTTCCAAACATACCAAGGAGTACATCCGATCGAGTTGCTTGAATTCGCCTGCTTTCCATTCGGGCCAGGTATCAAGCTTCTGCAGTTTCCGTCGGGTAAAGTGACAAGAGCTTGTTCTTGTGGTGGGTGGCCTTAGAGTCGTGATCAGCTGTGAAGGCGTGGTTTGAGTGGTATCAGCAGAGATAGGATGTAGGAGAGAAATCAAGTGTGGGAAGCTGATGGAAGCAATGGATCTGATAGAATGGACATCTAGAGTGGGAACATGTTCTTCAGGTGGATCAGAAGCATGGAGATCATGTTCAAGGAGGGCTTTGCGAAGGTGTTCGAGCTTTGTGGTGTGTGAAGCCAAAACGTTCCGGGAGCAGTTCCAGTGGTATATGTGTGAGTCTTGGCATTCAAAGGCAGCAGACGAAGTAACTAGGCGATAAGACCTCTTCCAAAGATAGGGCAAAAATCTGATATCATTGATTTTTGTGACAAAGGCTCCTTTGATTTTGTTGCAAGTGGCTTTGTAGTAGGAATAGAGTTTGGCAGCACTGGAGTTCTTTTTATGGCAGAGATGAAGGTTCGGTTTGAAAGAGAATCAGTTTGAATTGGAAACCAAAGTAGGGGTGCACTGACCTGATATTGTTGAGAGATTTGTGGAGAAAGATGAGGGTGAAGGTAGAATTGATCAACTGTGAGTTTCAGTGATCTATCGAGAAGTAAGTTCAACACTTCTTGAAGTGACTTTGGAGTTAAATAAGGACACATTGGTGAATGAGGATAGAACTCAAGAGGGAGTCATTTTGATGCCGTCATCAAATCTTGGCACTCGGATGTAGCAATCTTGGACACCGTATTTGGAAATTCGGACGTGATGATTCAACCTACAGAATTGTGGCAAGAGTGAGTGTATTGTAGAGAAGAAAACCAAGAAAATAATTGCCCTTACGAGAATGGTGCTTCGAATTTTGCCTAATTTGTCGACTCGGCCAGCGGGTTAGCGAACCTAGACACGACAGCCGAAAGTTCGGAAATGTTGGAAGTCGTCAGTTTTACCAGTAGCCAAAAGCAAAGGGCACTGCTGCTATCTTGTGATGGGGATGACATTGTGCGAGAGAGGATCAATGAGTGAACGGGATCATTAGGGCCAGAAAGTGGATGGGGTGCGAGGTTTGGCACCTGCTGAGAAAGTCACGTGCTCGTAAATGGCATTTTTCCATACATGTCAGATTCCACGTTTCAAACAGTGAGCATTTGATTGGAGGCATTCAGCACCAGTGGGTGAATATATAAGCCAATCGTACGGAAGAGTTTTGATGACCTCGGATTGTGCGATTACATATTCTCCACGTTGATCGAGAAACACATACTTATCCGTACACGTAGGAGCATGTTTTTCCAGAAAATGTCGAAGCCATTCGTAAGGAGAAGCTTTAGACACACGTGTATCAACATGTTTCATTCGTGTGAAATGAACCGTAATCAAGATCCATGAGGTTTCACAATGAAGACCCAAGTAATCAGAGGAGTCGAAGAGTGAGGATCAGTGCAGAGACAATATACCGGAAGAACGAAGAAACTATGGAAAGACCTTAACCATAGAGCGTGTGTCCGAATGGGTCTGTTTGGTTAGTCAGTTCTAGGGTCAATTACAACTGTGGGAAATGTTTATGTCTTTTCGGAGACGAAATGCAAGTCTTCTCCAAAGAAGCAGATGGTTGATCTAAAACTGAATTCATGTGTTTGAATTTGGGCACTCCTTTTACATGCTTGTGGGCATGAAAGAGGTAATAGTCACTAGGATGGCCAAGTCTTTGGTGCCACAGAAGTCTTTCAGTAGACTCTTTGATAGCATTGATGGGAGTGTGGTGTTGAATGTAGTGATGGTATGGGAGATTGTGGAAGGATGTGGGGGTGACAGAAAGCTCGTTTCGGAGATTGGCAAGCTCACATTCTTGGTAGGCATAGATGTTGTAGAGGGTTGCTTGGTGGCAAGCCTCAATGAATTCATCGTCGGTAGGAAAGGGCACAGTCATCGCAGTATCAGAAGGATAAGGAAGTAGTAAAGAAGCAGTGTAACACTTGCCGTGTTTCAGTACAACCATGGACAAGGAGATTCTGTGATCTGAACGCAAGTCTTTCGTGGTGACATACAGTATAGGCTGTAAGGTAAGCCACAGCTCGCATCATTGGAGAATACTCGCTCTAAGTCCAGGAGAAAAGACCCGTGTTCTTACAGATTAAGACAATGATCATTGGATTTTAGACCAGCAGCTTTCACAAAGTCTCTTTCATCAATGAGAGTGGTTCGAAGAGTGGGACTGTAGAAGGTTCGAACTGCAAGGAAACCAGATGGTGTAGCAGCAGGAACATGAAGATATCCGACACCTTTGGGATAAGCATCAGAACCTTCAGTTGCCGGGAGAAGTCTCACTGGACAAGGATGAGAAGGA